GTGGTTTATAAGATACGAAACTGTTTCACACGCAAATGGCCAAAACCGTCGTGGAAGATTAGCATGGGCAAGAAGAGTAAGGCTAGTTTAGACAACGTGATGGTGACGTCTCTCAACAAAACCATTTTGTTCACTAGTATGAGGACATGACCAATGACGAATTTTACCAACATTTGTGAAAAAGGGAGATAAGTTGCAAAATTCTCCACCCCAGTCAGTTTGGACACTTTTGATTTTTGAATTAAATTGTCGTTGAACCATTTTCACAAAATTGGTTAATGTAGTGTAAACATCTGATTTTAATGTCAACGGATAAAACAACATATACCGAGAATGATGATCAACACAAAGCATAAAAAAACAACAACCATCAAAAGATAAGGTCAGTGAGGGACCCCCAAACATCGCAATAAATCAAATCCAAAATTTTATTGCTACGAAAAGATGAAGTTGGCAAGGAAAGTTTAGAAGATTTTCCTAATTGACAAGAAGAACACAAACTAGAACATTGTTTTGATGAAACTGGTAAAGAACAACTATACATAATTAAACTAAGAACATGTTGATGTGGGTGACCAAGGCGGTGATGCCAAATGATTGAAGACGCCTTGGTGGCTGTGAAGGCAAGCTTAGGAGTGGACTTAAAACTGGGAAGACGCAACAAGTAAAGACCGGTGGTACTTGGTCTCGTAATAAGGGTGGTGGTGTAGGTTTCTCCTTCACAAGAAAGAAAGAATAATGAAATTCAAAGAAAACATCATTGTCATGACAAAGTTATTGAACAGATAAAAGATTTTTCTTAACTTTGGGAACATGAAGAATTTTAGAAAGATTGAAGGTTTTATGTGATGAATAAAGTTTGGAAGAACCAACATGAAGAATAGGAAGAGCATTACCATCACCAACATGAAGCGAATCGGGGCCACGATAAAACTCGGAGGTGTCAAGGTTGGACAGGTCAGGTGCGATATGAGTGTTGGCACCTATGATGGGAAACCAAGTGGAGGCTTATGTAGAGGCATTGTCAGGAACGGTTGCAATGTTTTCCTGCGGATGCGATCTTGTAGGGTTATTAGAGCCTTCATTATGGTGGTAATGTGAAGGTAGATGACCTATGCCACAACGGTTACAATGACCATAAACCATGTTTTGAGTGGAGGCTCAAGAGACCTATCTAGAGGAGGTTGAGTTGTTGCTGTCATGAGACCAGTTCTGAAAATTTCCACGCGAGTTATTCCTACGAGAGTTGCCACGACGATTACCCCGATAATTGTTTTGAGGGCGTGAGGCACAGTAAGCTTAAGGAGGAGCATTTTGTGGTGCAGTCGGATTAAGTTGGAAGCCAATTGGGACGCCATATGTTGAAGTGTTTGGAGTTGATTATGAATAGTGTTGATTTTAGGCAATGGTGCTTTGTTAGATGCAGTGAAGGCGTATGGTTGTGATAAGGTGGCAGTGGGAAGAGTTTTGTTGATCATATAGTCATTATCACTGAGGAGGGCATGTAACTCAATGAAATTGATAGGTGGGTGATGAGCCAAAAGAGTTGACTTGAGACCATTGTACTCCTCTCGTAAGCCAGATATAACAAGTAAAACCAGATCCTTATCTTTGATGTCTTCACCAATGTTAGCAAGGGCTGAAGCATATCCATGTGCGCGAATTAGATAGGCAACCAGAGTCTCATCACCTTGGATTGTTATTTTGAGTAGTTACGTTTTCAGTGTGTATTCTCTAGAAGAATTGTGTGGTGCGTAAGCTCATTCTAATGCAAGCCACAGATCTCGAGAGGTAGTACCTTGTACATGTTGAAAGGAAGCCTCTGATATGGTTGATATAATGACCGTGCGGATGTTGGCATCATTAGCTATCCAACGTGGATAACTAGGGTTATCCACGATTGTTTCTCCGATTCCAACCTTTTTCTCTGAACATTGTATGGAACCATTAATATATTCGAACAAGTTATTGGAAACAAGGAAGGGTTTGATCATAGCCTTCCAATACCCATAGTTTGTGGGTGAGAGAGTAAAAGCAAAATTGTGAGAGTTATTAGTTGTTCTTTCTTGAGTAGCGAAGGAAGCTATGGTAGCCATGAAGTTTTCTGAATTGATTGATGATTAGGGTTTAGGTTGTGGGGGCTGTTGAGATTGTCGACATAACTTTTTATTGAGCTGTAGGGTTAGAGTTTACTTGGCTATGATACCAAGTGAAACTGTGTATTTCAATAATAACTCAAAGATTACATAAGATCCTAGATATACACTATTAAATAAATACAATTAGGCACCCTCTAATATAAGCAATGTAATATTCTATACTAAAGATTGTCTAACACAAATGGAGAAAAACAAACGCAATGGTATATTGTTAGCCAATGATCTTCAAAATTTATATGCAGAAAGTAACAAACCATTTCGATTTGTAGAGTTTTGGCAAGTTATGATGGGTGCAAAAAATGACATCAATATGTTGAATGAAATTGTGTTTTTTTCATGTTTTAATGTTTCTTATGTTTTAAAAGTGGCAAATCACCCCTTCTAAATGGAAAATTCTTGTAGAGGTGTGGCAAAAATGACATGGCATCTACATAGCAGTAAAAAAAGTATGACAAAAATAACACCACTCTCTCTAGCCTAATAGTCAAAATGTTGAGAATCTTTTTTTTTTGAACGGCAAATACATACAATCTCTAATCCACTTTTGTCTGCAAACCCTCAACCACTTAGAGCATGACATATTTCCTACAAGTCTTAATACCTCTATGGTGTTGAGAATCATTCATCGTTGATTCTTCTTCTCATGGTTTATTTAACTAGACATTTATCAAAATTGAACAAAAATAATTTAAAAGTATAAATATGTAACTCTTAATGGAAATATTACCAATTCAGTCCATGGTTGTAACTGACATTTTATACAAATAAATGATATCTTAATTGAAATAGTACCCAACAGCAAATGTTGACCAGTCAAAACCATGTTTTCAGACAGACCCAGCTTCCATCATCAATTTAGTCAAAAGATTCTTAAGAAAACATTCAACTTACCACAATAACCATGTGAACGTTTCCCTTCGATATACCTACTTCTACTTGCATATACTAATCTTTTCAATACCTTTATCGACTTGTACAGCACAACACTCCTCTCAACAAATCATTTGACTTTCTAATAAAAAAAAAAAAAACTATCCCTTTCATAAAATGGAAAAGAAATTATTATATTTCTTGCTATACCACCCTACATGTTTCTCTGAATTTGATTATCATGATAACACATTATATTAATCGTTTATCCAGATAACACTAGTTAAACAGTATTTTTTTTAGTAAAAAAAGAACAGGTAGTAAGTAAGTGATGGATGTACATGATGCACACGAACAAGAAAAGGGTCCACACTGACTTCACATACATGAAAAAGTAGATATGAAATGTGATGGCCATGGCATCGGATGCCATTTATATATGTGAAACCATTTAATTGAAATAGAAGACTAGGAGTTGTGGTCTGTGGGGTGTGGGGTGTTGGCTTCAAAACTCAGATTTATTCTCACAATTTCAAACTCTCGGCTGACACAACAGTAGCATGTGCACGTGAATCTTGTAATCCTTGTTGCTACCCACCCCTACCCCCCACCCCCACCCCCTACCCCATCTCCACTTATTTATTACTATTACATATATACACTCTTTTCTTAACATGTACAACTATCACTGTATACGATGGAATAGAAGAATCACACACACAAAAAAAAAAAATGGAATGAAAACGTAATGGCAAATTAAGGGTTGCTTGTAGAAATCAAAACTCAAAACGGGTATTTGATCAGGAACGATTATCTAAGCTTCATTTTTTACATCAACTGCCCACCGTAACGAATTGTAGTGGTTTATTTTGAAGGGCAAAAGGGTCATTTAAGTTCAGAGCATTATGGAACATGTGTTGGAGTCAAAATTAAGGAATCAAATCAAATGAAAATAAATCAGTCAATCAGTTGAACCACATGCAAAAGTTCAAACCATATGCATGGATTAGTGGTTTCATGGTACTTCTGCCATAATAATAAATCTTGTATAACAGAAATTACAGCTCATTATCCTCAGAAGAGTATTGTCTTTTTTTTCAGTTTCTTACTCCTATCCTAATTGTCTTCTTTCAACTTAAAATATTACACTTCACCCAGCTGTACCCCCCATCCAATTTTCTTCAATTTTTAAATTTAATCAGGTAATTTCATATCCATAATTTACAGCTGTAAAAAAATTAAAAACAACAGTTTAAAAGATAAAATCAATGCGAATTCAAGGTAGCTGGTAGCAGCGTGGTAAAAGTAAGTATTTGTATAATTTACTATGGTGAGATTGTGAGAGACACCATGGCAATATATAACTAAATAAATAATAATTAAAAGATTAGATACTTGATAAATATTAAATAAATATGAAAAAAGTACTATGGTGAGCAGTCCTCCAGAAAGGTAGCAATTGTTTAATGACCACCGACCTCCTGCCCAATATGATTTATTGAAATTCAAATATTTTAGTTTCTCAAACAAAGGAATAGTAGAATATTTAGGACCATATATAAATATGAGTGGTAAATAATAATTTTACCCTGAGAAGGTAAAGTAAATTCTTCTTCTAGAATAAACATAACATGGTTGTGCTATACTAACTTGCACTTCATGAAGTAAAGGTTGTACCTTGTACTGATTTTTAAGCTCACTATTCAACATATATGGTTTTATACAGGTAGACAGTTAAGATGCAAGAATCATCAATAATTTGCTATATATATATTCTAAAAACACAGTCAACATCCACTTTCAATTTTCAAACAAACCCTTTCCCCTTTTCACTATTTTGCTATATATAGCGTTCTAACATCTCACCTCACCCCACTCTACCCTCATTTCTCTCATTCCCAAATTACCCTTCACATACAGAAAAAGGAGGATTCAGATCGAGATCAGTGAGTGAGTATAATGGAGCATTGCATGGACAAGAAATGGAAGCTATCGAAAGAAGATCCATGCAACCATTCATCAAAATCATCATCACTTTTAAGAAGCATATCACAAAAAAACTCAACAAAATCACCTCTTTTGAGGTCATTTTCACAAAAGAGTAGCTCCACGAATTCTAAATCTTCTTTCTTTTCAAGAAGCTCATCACAGAAGAACAAGTGTGCTCCATCGGATCTATCAAGAAGTTCTTCACAAAAATGTGCAAACTTCACACGCAAATGTGGTAGCTTGGCGAAGGAACAGAAGGCGAGATTTTATATTGTGAAGAGATGTGTCACAATGCTGGTATGCTGGAAAAAACATGGAGATTCTTGAAAATATTTCTATCTTTTTAGAATTAAATGAGGTCTCCTCTTCTATCTTGAGAGATGGATCTGATTTGGGTTTGAAAAATCCAGAGTTTTTCTGCCATCCCATAAAGAAAAAGAAGAAGAAATCATTAGATTTTACTATATTCTTTATTTTTAATTTCTTCTTCTTCTTCTTCATTATCATCTGTCTGTATGTACTTAGATTTGAGTTGAAATGGAAGCATCCATGTGAGATAGTGAGCAACTTGAAGAGCAGCACATGCAATAATGCAACTGAAAGAAGGATGAAATTAATTAAGCTAGCATATATAAATATATATAGATTTTTAATGGCTTAACATATCTTCTATTTCTTTATGCTTTAGGCTACAGTCTTCATCATCTTCCTGTCTCATGTGCCATTACTTTACATGTCTTGATGAGAGTGAGATTCTTTTTTGTGATTCTTTTGTCATTTTATGTATAGTATAGTGGTTTCACATCTTTTAGGTCTTTTCTAGTTCATAAAGTTTGTACAAAATGTCAAAATGCCCCCTCCATATGAACCAGGAATTATAGAGATAAAATACAAACACTTGGAGGGTTTATTTTTATGTAGTTGAGACTTAATTAGAATGATATATTGCTCCATTAATTTGCACCAAGAATCATCGAAATTTGAAGCAAAAGTAAGAGTTAATTTGTTTAGTTTCCATTTCACTTATTTCTAGTCTCAATTCGTAATGTGTTCGTCATATGGGCCCACAGATAGTGATTAAAAAAAAAAAAAAAAAAAAAAAAAAAAAAAAAAAAACAATAAATGAAATGAACAACAAACAAGGGAGTGGTTGTCAAGAGAGTTGCAGTTTATATGTATATATTATAGTGATTGGATCTACCTTGAGAATGCAAAAGTCTTACCATTTTTGAGATATGGAGAGAATAGGGATCAGTGGAAGTGATCATAAGGGCATATGATGATGAAAGCTATATAAGAACTTGTTTCAAAGGTATCAAATCCATTATGGGTAATAAGCAGAAGCAGAAAATCTATGAATGTGAGTAAAATAAAGAAATACATACATTGATTACAATTTTATATTGGAAACATAAATTATTTTACTTTATTGTTTTATAGGAATTATAAAAGACATACTAAGCCTATAAACAGAAATGGTTGCACTAAATTAAATGAAAAGTATGAAACTCTGCACAGATTGGAGTCCCAACACATTCACTAGCTGCTCGATTAGTCATATAGCTATCAGCATCTACACCACCAAGCTAATGAGTACAAATGCGTAAGAAATCAATAGAACTACCGCAATTCACTACTGAAAAAACCCTGAACAACCAAATTTTGAGATAATTCTCTGAAAATCAGTATACCTACGTGCGCGTCTGTACTGTGTGTGTGGTTCTGTGTTTATCTGCCTCCAGTGATTGGTTCGGTGATTGTGATAAGGTTTGGCATCTGACCTTGAATTTGATGTCAAAATTGACGCCGTTAAGAAAACTTGCTTAATTCAAGCTCCCTGCGAAGCTCATACTCTAAATCCGCCATTCACAAAAGCTCATCAAACTACTGCCAGATAATGTGAATCCTTGGGCAACCCGATTCCATGATCCATAACCTTCCATGCCATCTGCAATTCCCAGCGCGGGTGAACCTCATTGCGTTTTGCATATCACCCGGATCATCACAATTCAAATGATCAAATCGATCGAAGAACAATTGCATTTGGGTCGGGGAGTCCATTATTGGCATTATCAGAAACTGTTGGGCCGAGTCGGGCTTCAAATAACTTGGTTAATGTATTTTTCTGTTCCCGAGTTTGAGTTTGAAAGAAAGGAAAGACAAATTAATTTTCTTTATCTTTCCAAGTTGGAAGGAAAAGAAATAGAAACTAAAAATGGACAATTATACCTTGTCATATTTTTTCCATAATTTCAAATATATACCACAGGATTCTCTTGAAAACAAAATTATGCCTAAACTATTTTTTTTGTCAACTGTTGCCTACATCTCGACTTCTTTAATTATTTTTTTCACATGATTATTTATACAAAAATCATTAATGCATAACTCATTATTAATCACAATTCTAGTATGTTCTTCATTTGTATAACTTTTTCAAACAAAACCAATATAAAGTGGAACAGAAGTCAATAAACCCAAACCAAAAATAACATAAATGTATGAATAATCAAACAAATTCATAAGAAACCAATTTAAAGTCAACGCAAAAATAATCAAACAAATTCCAATGTATGAACTTAAACCAAAAACCAAAAAGTATGAAGTCAAACTAATAAAAAAATCAAAAAACTATCATCCTAAGTAAGTCATTTACTTGCCCCCATCATTTTTCTCAGCAAACTTTTTCGTATTTTAAATGGAACTCTAAATAATGTCCCTGCATCAGATTGATTTCGCGACAAAAACATGAGAGCTTCTGCTAATTCATCAGGTTCCAAATCCATTGGCTCTAACTCTTTATAAATTTCATCACCGGTATAAACCCGGTGATGAGAGTTTTCGAAGATTTTGTTACCCTCCCTCATAGCAGAACCCACATCTTTAACTGCACTCATAATAACCTTTTCAAACGATTCAGGTTCATCTTCATCTTCAATTTCATGTTTCCTTTTTTTACTTTTGTACTTCTTAGAACTTGAATTTTGCACCGGTGAAAAGCATGTAGGAGATAACACTTGAATATCATCATCACCATCATCATCATCATCATCGTTATTTTTTTGTTGTTTCTTAAGTGTTATGCCATTGCTTGCTAGTAACTGATCCACTTCTTCAATTGTTTCTACTTTGATATCCCCAGTCCTGTTCAATCGAGCATTCTTCTCTTTCGGGGTTTCAGCATGCACCCTTGAAGCCCTATCTCTCGCAAACAAAGCTATCATTTCATTGCAGTTTGGTATTTTTTTGGACTTCAATGAAATTGCCTCAGCCTTTGACTGTAACACACAATCCCAAATACAATTATTGTTAAGAAAAATAACATAAATGTATACAAACTAAGTAACATGCAATAAAAAAAACTTACATTAATTAGGTTGGCCCACACTTCCTCGTCCGCTTCAATTAGTTGTGTTTCAGAATTCCAACTGAACCCACTCAATGAAGTTCCGCGGAACATGTCATACCATTGCGAAAAACCTGATTTTAAAGTTTTCAAACGATTCTTTATAGTGATTTTTTGTTAAACTCTTCCCAAACTTTTGATTAAGCTCCTTGTGACATCCCCTAATTTCTCGGCCAGAAAAGACCGATTTAATTTATACTTTTTAAAATAAAATCAGAGAAATCTTTTCAAAAGATGTTGCGGAATAGGTCCCCAAAATAAAACATGATAAAAGTTTATCAAAACCCTTCTTTAAGAAGGTATATATTTTCCATATATATATCAAAACATCGGGATGTCATGTTCCGATACAGATCAAAAGCATAAACAAGACATTATAAGCCTTTCAACAGTTATTTACAACTACCGGCCTATAATCCAAAAATCTTTCATTGTCCTCTGACTATGCTCGGGGTCCACTACCTGTAATCATAAAAAGCTGAGTGGGTCAGGCTTGGGAGTCTGGTGAGCATATAGGGTTTTCAACCCACAATAATAATAACTTATTAAGTTCACCAATCAACAATAACCCTGATTACCCATTCCCGTTGTCCTCACTTTACGTCCCTAATCACCTATCTCGCAACCCCCCTATTTACAGGGTGCGAGACCGAAGTTTGAATGGCTGAGAAAGCTCCACGCAGCAGCTGCGAGGCTCGGAGGTGGCTCGGATGCGAAGGGCTCGTAGGAAGCTTGTAGGCGAGACGTGGCTCGCTTCGGACAGGCCACATATGCGACACGCGTCGGTCTCTGACTGGGCCACGCTTCGGACTCGTCATCAGCATTGGACACGGGTCAGCAGCGAGGCGAGGGTGACGTGGCCGAAGTTGGGCCATGCGAAATTCCTCGGATTTTGTGCTTTTTCTCGGTTTTTGTGCAAAAACTTCTAAAATCCATAACTTTCGCATACGGGCTCCGTTTTTGACGTTCTTTATATGCACGCGTAGGTAAAATTACGCTCTACAACTTTCTTTTAGACTTCGTCGGCTAATTTTGACTTTAATTTTTATATTATTATTTTTAACAGACCGGGACATGAAATCCGTTAAAAATTCATAACTTCTTCATCCGACGTCCGTTTTCGTCAGACTTTTTACCGTTGTGCTACTATTTACGAGACCTTCGATTCTCATTTAGGTCGTGTCGGCTAAAAATCACTCGATCTAAAATTCAAGTTTTTAGTTGTCTACTGCTAAGCTGAAACTTCGAAAAATCATAACTTCCTCATACGAAGTCAGATTTGGGCGTTCTTTTTATACCTACTCTCGGTTTAACAAACACTACGAGTTTCGTTTAGATCACTAAGGCTAAAAAGTAGTTTATCAAAAACTCACTTTTTTACGACATTCAGCACCATGCCGGTTTTGTCGTGAAACTTCGACAGGTCATAACTTCTTCGTTATAACTCGGATTTCGGCATTCTTTATATATCCGTAATCCTTGTCACGACCACTACAACTTTCTTAATAGATATCGGCTTTATCTAATATTTATTTTTGACGCTCATTTTTTATTCTTAATTATTTAACTCCTAGTAATTAAGCATAAAACACATAATATTCACATAATTCCTTTTCATTTCTTCAAAATGAGTTACAAAGGTTAACCTAGACTATCACCCCAATATTAATGCCTAGGCTAGAAACACGAGTGTTAAAATTCTCTCCCCCTTAGGATGATTCCATCCCCGGAATCACATATCACCAAACAACTGCGGGTAGCGACTCATCATGTCACTCTCCGTTTCCCAGGTGAGATTTGGTTCATTCGTATGTTTCCAGCGCACAAGCACTAAATCAACCATCTTGCACCGCAACTTCATAGTCTTACGGTCAACGATTGCCTCAGGTTCTTCAATCAACCTCTTGTTTTCATCCAACCTTAATTCAGAAATGGGAATTATGCCGGGCACATCTCCCGTGAACTTTCTCAAATAACACACATGAAAGGTGTTATGAATACCCTCCAGTTCTTCCAGTAATTCTAGCTTGTAAGCTTGATTCCCGATCCTCTGAAGAACTTTAAATGGTCCAATAAACCTTGGACTCAACTTTCCCCTTTTACCAAATCTTATAAGTCCCTTCCA